TTTGTGTCAATAATTTTAAGAGTAAAGTTTGATATACTATATGACACAGGTGATGCTGTCAAGTTCCTGTGAAGTATGTTTGTGTCAATAATTTTAAGAGTAAAGTTTGATATACTATACGACACAGGTGATGCTGTCAAGTTTCTGTGAAGTATGTTTGTGTCAGTAATTTTAAGAGTAAAGTTTGATATACTATATGACACAGGTGATGCTGTCAAGTTTCTGTGAAGTATGTTTGTTTGAGAAATTCAAACAATAAAGTTTGATGTCTTACACGTGATGCTGTACAACTTTTATAAGATGTTCTTATAAAATACCACTTTATGTTAGTAAGAGTGTGAAGTGAGAGATCTTGACAGGGTATATTACACAACTATTGTAGGATTAATATGTTTATGTGTGTGACAACTTAAAATATTAAGTCTTTGATGGATAGGTAAAATGGGTAGTGTTGTGGAACTGTGTAGACTACACATCTATGTAATTGATAATCTTGAAAAAATGAGAATTTATGACTACAGACTACAGTACTGTATTTCTGGTGAAAATCAAAATTAACAGAATATTATAAAAGTATAAGTTACAGGGCACGAAGAGAATAATCTTGCTACATGGTACACAAACTGTGTGGCATGCCACCCCTGAAGGGGCATGGAGAGTTGGTAGATGGAGCACCATAGGAGCATATATATATCTGAAAGTACAAATTCAAAAATAAAGATGTTTTAGAAACTACAATACAAATATTACCACTGCTATGTAATATCATAAGAACAACTAACATGGGGAAATGGCATGTACAGTGTCTGCACAAGTAGATAACATAGGGTGTGGGGAACAAAATACATGTTTAGAAAGGGGTGCCATAAAAAAGTTTGTGCACCACTGATCTTGACTACAAAAAAGATGTAGTCTAACAGAGTCAGAGTAGACCCTAAAACCACAGAAAAATTTCAAAGATCTGGATTCCAGGGAGAATAAATGTCATGGATCAGCCTTATAAAAAGAATGAATCTAATGTAGACTCATTCTTTTCAGCAGGGTACCTCTTTGCCTTCTCTATGTTCTTCAATGGCTCTGACAGGATAAATCCACATAAATGCTGTCTCCATATGAAAGAAGAGCCTGTATTTTAATTCATTATTTTATTTGTTCTTTGAAATCAAATTCATTCCCAATCAATGAAATTGTTAACCATATTTGGGCAGAATAGACAAAATATCACCTGTTACTGATTCCATCTATCCAGGAGGATAACCAGAGAGAGAAAATTCAATCCATAAGCAGAATAGACAGTGATACAATGGAGATAAAAATGCAGGAAAAATATATTTGAATTTGTCCACATACCAGCATGTAAGATATCCTCTTGCGAATAAGCCTCATTTGAAGATAATCAAAAATAGTAAGAGAAATTGTAAAAGACAACAGGCCCCAAACTCAAGGGATTGCAAAGTCAAAGTAAATGGTTGAGGAGTTCCTCGAAAAATGTTAATCCAAAATTCCAAGATGAACTAAATAGGCAGTCAACTGAATATGAGTCATCAAATAAAAAAGTCAACTGAGCAAGATTACTCTGATTATCCATGTAATGATGAAAAACAATATTAAGTACAAGTAAAAGACCAGCTAGTGCTTTGACTACACATATAGACATATCATGCCGAAGACAGACCAAAAAAGGGAGAGCTATAGACCAATACACTGCTCAATGATATGAAAAAAAAAAAAAAAAAAAAAAAACGGACATGAAAATGGGTTAGTCAGGATATGTAAATAAGCATCTCTGATATCCAAAAACCTTGATAAAGGAATTTTCATACAATTCTTATAGGTTTCATCTGAACAGCGGGAATATCTAGATGAAAATATATTAATACCATTCATCAGTATTCTATTTTTTTGGCACTAAAAAGAGATTAGAATAAAAGCCATGAGAAAACATGAAGTACAACATTAATATCCCCTTTTATTAAAAATGTTCAAAACTTCCAGATATAAAAAATCAAATAGAAACTGAAAGAGGATGGTAAAAATTAAACAAAATCAAATTGAAAATCTGACGAACCCAAGGAAGCTTACTACGTCTACTCATACTTTTCATGTAGCATCAATATAAACTGACTTTTGGGGATCATGTCAGATTTTTTGTTCATCTTCAGATCCTGGACTACTTGTTCCTTGGGTTCGTCAGATTTTTTGTTCATCTTCAGATCCTGGACTACTTGATCAATGAACATTACACACTAGTCTCTGGAAGAGAATGAAGACCAGCAGCAAAATGAGATGCTAAAACCATAATTAACACCTGCTGGTATGCTTCTCTCAATGGAAAAATAATTAAATACCTGCAAAGGCAAAAGCAGGTATTTTTTTTTTTTTAAGATCAGCTAAAATGATGAAAGGAAGACAAGCACCTTGCAACACAACAACTGAGAGTGTCAACAAATCATATGAGATACATGGTAATAGAAACAATATCAATGAAACCTGTAAGTAATGAAGACTGCAAAGCAGATATTTGATCCTGACTCAAACAATTAGGAGAGTGAGAATAATTAATATTGGCGTAAAAAGAAAGTCTCAAAACAAGACATGTAGGGTATGTAGGGAATAAAAACTGAGAATGGGTAAAAGTAAAAAAACCACATAGAAGACCTTCCCCTATTATAACCAAACTGAAAACAAGAACCTGAGAAAGAATTTTGGAAGAAGAACAGGAAGTGTATGAATACAATAGTCACATGCATAAGTGTAGAATTATGGGCGACACATGCTCTTCAATATATTGTTAATGGTGTGGTGCAAGGCTGTACCATGTTTAGATTCCAATATAGTTAATATGTAAACATTTTGAAATTTCACTATTTTTGATTAATTCAGTTTGGATACAGAGAGTTACTTATGTAAACAAATCATCTTTCTTGAGATGTTGATCTATTAATTAGCAATAAGCCATGTTTTATTGTAAGAAAGATAGCTTATGACATTTTGAGATATATGCTCATCTTTTATTTCTGTTAGTAAATCTGATAATTGCCAGGGGATGCCATTCCCTTGCACTATGATTGCAATGGACATGTGCAAACCTGGATTTGTTGATGTGATTTTGTATTTAAAGCCAGTTTTGCCCTTACAAGAAAGAATTTTAGCTGGATCATAAATCTAAACTTTAAGATTTTCTAGCTTCAAGCTTGATTTTGAGACTTTAGTCACTTGTGTTTCATTTTAATTTGTTAGTGTTATTTTCATTTTGGACTTTTCTATTTGTTGTATAACTTAAATTAACATGTAAGATGAATCTATTAAAGATTTCTCCACACCTGTCTAACAAGATGAGCACACCCACCACAAACACTTCCTTTGTTTTGTGTGTATGGTGTTCGTGACTTTGATTATTACTTGTTTAAAGAAGATTGCTGTTTTGATAATTCTGTGTCTTGACTCTTTATTCATAGCAAACTCAGAAAGAATATAGAAATAAAACACACTACATAACATAAAACAACAGTTTGTGCACCATACTGATTACAATATGGAAAATACCACAACAGTATGAGTGCAAACTTCACAAGAAAGGCTTTCAGTATTTTAAAGGTAAGACTACTTGATAAAGCTATACAAAGAGTACTTTTTTGTTTGACTGTATAAGTGAGACTACATGATGTTTTGATAGATTATACCAAACAGATAATACCATATACATTGTCAAAGAAAGGAAAACCTTCATGTACTTACATGCTTTCCTATGCTTTGTTTCTGCCTGTTAAAATATACAAAATATTAGTTTTAACTAAAATAAACATGACAAAATAAAAATACTTCAAGAAAATGTTTGAGATACCCAATTTAAAGTCAAACTATTAATAAAACAGTGTTTTGTTGAAATTCTGTGTTCATTACCTACATTTAACATCAATGCCACATGCATGTATTACTAATGAAATTAAAAATTCATGTAACACTGATGTTATACACATGGTTTTCATGAGCTTAGGTTATGATATGAATATAAGTGCCAAAGTACTTCTGTCCTTTCTTTCACCATCGATAATGTTCTGAGTTATGTTCCTCGTTATGGATTATTGCTCTGCAATGCAATTTTTACTGCAAGAAACTATTACACAATACATTGAGTTCAATGTTGTCCTTCCCCTCCTCTACATATATACTTTCCAAAGTTCACCAGTTGCACAGAAGATGAGTTCTGATGAGATATCTAAGCAACCCAAAGGCACAGAAGCTCACGTGAGATATCTGCAAATGCTACAGCATGAGTTTCACTGTGTACTTGCACTTTGGATAGGAACAGGCATGTTGACTTGGATAAGTGCCTGGATGCTTTGTCTTGTTGGAGCCATACATTAACGTGAAAGCATTGAGAGATTATCTTGGCATTTTTCTTGACTGAGAAGCCTGACATGTGAAAAAGACACACACTGCCAGATAACACTTGGACAGCTTTCACAGTTGCTCTTCTGGTTGGCTATGTGCTTTGGCAAAAGCTCATGAAATCAGCTCTCATGTCTTGTTCTAACAAAAAAATTTTACTAGTTCAAGAAATATTTATTATAATCCCTGTATATAAAGCTGGATATAATTTTGCATTCATCTGTAAAAAAGATTAGATTATTTACATAGTAGCCAGCAACTTCATTTCTATTTGGAAAAAAGTTTTATATTATAATTTTATATAAATAACTAGTGTTATTTGAAATGAATAAAAACCCTATAACCTAAGCACTTTCAAAAGATGGACCTTTCTTCTTCAGGGGCAAACTGGGAATCTGAATACATTCAATTCCTTGGGTTACAAGGTTCATAAAAAAAAATTTAAATAAATATATTTCAGTTCATCAGACTTTGGTGTACACTTGGTTCAATGTTATACCTAAATTATTTTGGATTCCCAAATTACATAAAACCCCATACCAACATATGTTTATTGTAGGGGTGAAAAAATGCTATGACTAAGGAATTATCAATTCTGATAGTTAATCATCTAAAATACAATAAAGAGCATTAAAAGAAATATTATAATATTATAAAAGAGAAAACTGGTATTAATCCATCCATTATCATCAGTAATTCCTTTGAATATATACAAAGTATTAAAAACAACAGAAACTTTTACTTTCAGTAATTTTTACATTAATCTTCCTGTTGTTAACATTAAAGTGTCCTCCATCAACAATTTCTAGGTTATTTAATAAATCAAGTAAATTACTATTCTACATCAGTAAACAAAGAATTTCTATGAAAATGTCATTCACATAACTTACCACTGTTTCACATTAAACGTGTTTTTACAGGTCATGTATCTTTTACTTGATAATACATTTCATGCATTTTAGTCAACATTCTTCCAACAGATACTGGGAATTCCAATGGAAGGCAACTTCATCCCTTATGTTGTAGATTTGTATTTATTTAGACTACAGTTTTAATACATTACAAATCTTAATAATAATGACTATAATAAAGCTTTGCAAATTAGTTGTGCTTGCAGATACAGAGATAATATTATTAGACTAAATTATAATGGTTTTCAAGACACTGCAGTATAAATTTAGCCACCAGAACTTACTCTAGAAAAAAGTTCTTCCATTAAAACCAAAGCACAATATTTAGATTTAGATATAAGTATCACTAATCAAAAATTAAAATGCAAAGTTTTCAACAAGTTTTCAAAGTCTTCACCTGGAAATGGAATTGGTAGGGAAGACAAGCTTCTGTACCAAAATCCATCTCAAGTTGCAAATATTTCCAGTCCATTCAACACCTGATCCACCACAAACCGACATCCATCATATGGTAGGAAAGTGGAGAGCCTAGTGCAAAACCTGGCAGCATTGGGTATTTTTCATACAGTCAGTGGTAGGAGGAGGGATACTGGCCAGAACACACGTGAGGACTTACTTAGCTGGACCATCTCTAACAAACACCCGACCCCCCTGGGGAACCTCATCCAGAAGATGGTAGATAGAAGGAACGTCTCAGGCTGAGGGATAAACTACAATATAAATATATAGTTATGACACAGCAGACTACTTCGACCAAAACCTGGTGGTATCTGGAATTGTAGCTTAGGCCCACAGTAAGAAGAGCATCATGCCATTGACACATTATTCTAATTGTGACTAGGCCATTGCCAACCAAGACCAGACCCACTGGTAGGAGGGAAGAATGCCACAGTGGGAAAAAGCAATCTGTCATATACACGTGTATATGTACATGTGAATATGGTGTAGTGCAACAATAAAAACCTGGAGGTATCTGGAATTGTACATCAGGTCTATGGTAGGAAGTGCTAAATGCCACTGTCCTACTCTCAACTGAGTGGTATGATGTATCACTCAGGAGGATAGGCCTCCATGGTCCACCACCCCAGCACTTTGGAACTGGTAATTGACAAGGATTCCCATACTCCACTAGAAGAAAGGAGGGAAAAACGCGTTGGAGAGTCTGGAGGACCGCAACACTGGAGACAGTGCAAAGGTTGACAATCCTACCAAAAGTCATGGGACACACCTCTGATTGCGGGAAAATGGGTGTGACAACAAAATAAGCAAATAGTTTGGTCTATAAAGGTGATCAGCAGTTTGCTTGGAAGTCATTTCGAACTTGTACACCAAACAATGAGTACAAGGAAAAAGCTAACAGAGTTTCAGAGGAAAAATATAGTTGGACGTCATTTGAGAAAATGTCTATATGTGCTATTGCACAACAATTAAACATCCCCAGGTCGAAAATTGGCAATGTGCTGAAGAAACTGAGTATGAACAGTAGATTCGACCTGAGAGGAAGCCAAAAGTAACTAGTTGTCTATGTATTGGTGGAAATATAGGCCTCTGACATGAAGCAGTTGAGTAAAAAAAAAGTAATTTGTCTTTCCCCTCCACTTGAAAGAATAAATAAGGCTTAGAGCAAGACTTTGCAAGTATGACATGCAAGTATTAACCAATTTCATAACATTACAAGTCCTCGATATCAATGTTTTTCTGCAAAGGTTTTATTTATTGTTCTATGTTTAAAAAACAACAAATGAAAATTAAGCATTTATGAGTAAATAGTAATAATATACACTATCCTACCAAAAGTCATGGGACACACCTCTGATTGCGGGAAAATGGGTGTGACGACAAAATAAGCAAATAGTTTGGTCTATAAAGGTGATCAGCAGTTTGCTTGGAAGTCATTTCGAATTTGTACACCAAACAATGAGTACACGGAAAAAGCTAACAGAGTTTCAGAGGGGAAGGATAGTTGGACGTCATATGAGAAAATGTCTATACGTGCTATTGCACAACAATTAAATATCCCCAGGTTGACAATTGGCAACGTGCTGAAGAAATGGAAGTATATAGGTGACAATGAACCTATGAAATGACCAGGTAGGCATAAAATACTGACTGAAAAGAGCCTTAAGAAGGCTGATTACCTCAACTTGTTGTCAGACCCTAGAGAATCTGTGTTTGGAGATGCGAGCAGCCACAGGCAATCCTAGAAGTGTTTCCACGTCATGTCAAGAACTGCATGCCACAAATTTTCCTGGAAGAGCTGCAGACCACAAGTTGTTGATAACAAAAACAAATGCACACCATCGACTGACATGGAGCAAGACACACCGAACCTGGAACGTGGATCAACGGAAATCAGTCCTGTGGACAATGAGTCATGCTACATGCTCTTCCAGTCTGATGGACATGTTTGGGTATGGAGGATGCTTGGAGAAGGTGGCAGTATCATGGTCTGGGGGTGCTTCTTGTGGTATGGACTTGGTCCACTGGTCGCAGTGCATGGATACATGAATGCTGAGTCCTACATTGATGCTCTGAACAATTCCGTGTGTCCTACATTGTGGCAATTTTATTGTACGGTCCTTTACACCTTCCAACATGATAATGCTCCATGTCACAAAGCAAGGATTGTGAACATGTGGTTTGAAAATTGGAACATTGCAATGGCCAGGACATGATATTTTTCACTTAATTATTTTGTGGTTGCTGATAACTTTTTCCCATTTACACATGCTGATGTTAAGTTCTCATTTTATATGTTTATTACTACAACTACTACTACTATCCATCTATATGTATGTATACACACACACAAACAGTATACAATCCTACAAATTGTTTTTAAAAACCGAAATTTACATATGCTAAATGACAGCAAACATGGATTTCTTTATCTCCCATTAACATAGAATCAGTTCATCACTATAGATTTAGTACAAGGAGCAATATTTAAAATTTAAACTTATTTTCCAAACAAAAATACTCAGAAATAAACACTGATCTTGAAGATAATGTTCAGCTTAGAATAAGCTTAATGCAAATCACTAAAATTTATCAGGAAAAAAAGAAAGACCTAATACACATAGCATTAGACTACAAAAACAAACTCAGATGTAACCTACTTTTTCCAGCTCTTTAGATGCACCACTTTCTCTAAGTTTCTGTACTTCAATATATCTTTTGTAACAATTTTCTTTGGCCTGAAAGAATTATCAATTGATGTAGGTAAGTTCTCATTTCCAAAAAAAATTAATATACCTGAAGTACTCTCATATTTTCATACTTGTAAGTAAATAGCTATGCATAATATTTTCATTATATTGAACTTTAGCTTGGTGTATCAAACACAATGAAGTGATGTGACCAACTAATGAATATCTGTAGTTCTAAGTATGGTAGCAATCATGACTAAGATATTATGGTAAGATTGGAAAGGCTTGTACATACATCATTCTTATTAGTTTCCAATAGAGCAATATTTCAGTTTTTTGCTTTTGTTATTGTATATTGCTGATGTTGAAATCTACTGCTCACTACCAGAGCTCTTCAGGCTGACTGTGCTGCATACCCACAAATTTTTTAGCTATCCTTACTTGATTTAGCATTATACTTGATGCAACACATTTTAATAACCTTTTCACCTAGCAAAAACTTATAACTTCACACTATTTACTACGATTTTAATTCAACAATTTTATGTAGCTATTGTATAGAAAGTGTAATTGCTGGAAATATGAAATCTTGATCATGAATGTAAAATAACTCACAAAATGCCATAATTATTTGTGCTACAAGAATACACATATACCTCATCAAAGTTAATTATATATCTATAACCTTGCAATAAAATAGACAGTTTTATAAGAATAAAGTTTCAACTCACTCAACACCCAAATGTTTCAAATACTATTACATATTATAATAAGACTAAACTTTTGAAATAACATACATTAATTTTTTTAATACTACAAATTATACAGTTTTTACTCTACATCTTACAAAGTTTATAACTAAAAATGATAAGTTTGTTTAATCATTTTACCTGAAAAATCATAGTTAAGAGAAGGAAAAAAAAATGCTTGCTAATTTTATAATTTTTATAGATTGAGACCATTTAAAAATGAGAATTTTTTCTTATGGCACTACTAACTGGATGAGAAATATACTATTTGAAATCTTGCTTAATCACCTTAAAAGACTGACAGGAATCACTTAACATAAATGATTTATCAAAGATCTTACTTTTAACACGCTGGCAGCAATATGCTGGAAGGATTGTATTACATCTACAGTCCCCAGTTGTTTGTATTTCACCTATGATACAAATAGAACAAATGTTAAAAGTTAGAAAACAGTTCTGGCACATTTCTGGCAGTGAAGATAGCTCACATTTTAATACATAATGATATAAAACTTAGAAACAAGTCACAAACCACTAATTACACAAGTTTTTTCATTGAAAATTACATATGTATTTCCATGGGTGTCTGTGAAGGAAGGGAGGGATGAGAAACATAACCTTATCTTTATTGATTCAGCATATGTATATAAATTTACAAGTTTTGTATTCATTTTACAATTTCACACTACTTTTTACACTTAATTGTCAATTCTAATAAAAGTTGCTAGGTCTGTCAGAGCTTTACTTAAAAGCTCTAGATACCTACCCTGTAGCTATATATTGAAAAACATCACTACCACAGTGGTTTCTAGGATATTAAACATGGCTCATCAAAGAGAATGATGCCATCTTGAAACCATTCTCTGAACCCTGACACAGTCATTGAGGTCACCTGCTGGTAATACTGGCAGAAGGTTAACAAAGAGACTGATGCAGTCTTGCAGACATCCTATGATACAGCATGGTTGGGATCAACCAGCTGCCAGTATCATACACAGAGAAGTATCAACATCATACGTGCTAACAGAACAACATTGTGTCATGAGTCAGGTCATATATTGTAGACTTGTAACAAGCAAGTTACTTCAGTTTTTGGAGAGACATTATACAGACAAGCTATGGATTTACCTCAATTGAAGACATCGAATCATAAGCTAAGAAACACTCAAGCTAATTCTGTAAAAAGCAATAAGCTCTTCAGTACAATGTTTTTTTGTCATGATTATGTTCAGAGGTGCATGTTAAACCTCAAATTACTCAGTGCATTCTTCTTAGGGAGCCTATTCATAATGATCAATTATTGAAATTCAAATTTTCAGTTTCAAAATGGCCTAATTTTAAACAGTTGTAGTTACTTTTGCAGTTCTTTAATAGTTACAAATTATATATAGCTACAAGTCTGCAGTATGTATTAAACTAACCTTACAAATATTAAACCCATCAAATCTGACTGTGGGAGCTTGCCTGTAATGGCAAAATGTCCAACATCCCTTGATTTTGACTTTGTCCCCCTTGGAACATTTCTGAAGGTGTTCATGTGTACTTCAGTAATTCCTCCACAAAATTTAAAAAATAAAACTTCTATTTTATGGAGATAAATAAATAGAGCTATGTTAATCCTACCTGTTTGTGTACTTTTTGTTGATCTTCACAGTAATGGCTGATATGTTTGACAAGTTCTTGTAATCTTTCAACCATAATGTCATGTAGGTGTGACAGTTTGTCTGCTGAACTCTTCAGCATTTGCCATAAGGGACCAAATGTTCTTTCGTTAAAAAACAATAAATAATTAGTCACATGTGTAGATATTATGGAAAATGTGTTTTAAATATTTCTAAAACCATTCAAATACACATTTAAATGTGTAGTTCTACCAAAGAAACTAACTAAACTTTCAAATGTTGGCTCTCTGATGGTTATGAAACTTTACTCCTCAATAAGTATTATCATAATAGTCATTCTGCAAATAAAATTACTCTGTCAGAAAATTCATAATGATATACAGAAACATGTTTCCTCTCAGGTCATATCAAATTCATAAGGTATGGATATAATTAAGAAAAAAATTATGATAAATATTCAAGCAAATAAAGATTAATTAAAACTGACTCATTTATTGTTTATCAATACAAACTTCAGACAAGTTTTAGAAGTATTACATGACCTTCACACATATTTAAAAGATCTTTTAATTCTGTGAGTTACCTAACCAAAAAAAAAAAACAAAAAAAAACTATCTTCTACAAAATAATCCTTTTCATAAAGAAGAAATACAATTTTTTTTTAGTTTTGGTGCAATATTTCCCAGGGAGATAACACATTTATTTGTTTGAATTTCAAGGACATGGGCTATAATTTTTTGTGGAAATGAAAGGCTTGAATGTGTTTACACACTAAGTTCAATCTTATATGATCTGAAGTTAACTCTTTCCCTGTGTTTCACAGATATGAGGTCTATGTGAAGGAACACAAGCAATAGTTCTATTTTTATATGTCCAAATTAGCTTGTACACTGAAAGCATTTCTGAAATAGAAAGGTTATGAATGGTTTCACTTTTAGTTCACAGAACTAAGGAACAATTGTTCACTTTTACTGGAGGAGTTGACAACTTCAAAGTTCCTGTTTGAAAACAGTCAATTATGTGTTATAAACCAAAATTTATAAATGAGAGTTATGTCTATAATCAAACACTTAATCATAAAACTTAATTTTTAAACATAAACACCACTTAATGTTAGAATACTTGACTTTAGTACATGACTTTGGATTCTAATTTACATTTTAATCTTCATTCTTTTTGTTATATCTTCATATATTTTATACTTTGATCTTATTTTTTGTTGTTACTGAATAAATATAGGAAATAGAAAGTAAATTAAAGTTCAATAGGTTACAAAAGCAGTATTCACATTAAAAAAAGACTGGTACACACAAAGTAGAAGTGGGATGATGAATGATAACTTGCTAATACTATATCATTGTAAAATACGAAAATTTGTTTTGAAATACCATTTTTTGTTGTTGTTGTATGTATTTTTAAACATTTATTTAAATATATACAATATCATTTTCAAAGATCATGGTCTTTTATAGCAGCCATTTTCCCTCTCAAGACAAGTATGCTTTACAAAACCCCATTAAGAAGAGTTAGAAATACATGCAAATGTAATAGCAATTGTCTTGACAGTTTGGGGCTAATTTGGTATTCATGAGGAAAAGGAAAGTAACATGCATGAGATATGCCATGCTAGAGTTAAATTTAAACAAATACAACAAATATGTTTATACACTTGAGGCTCCATCATCCAAGAATAACATGTGGTCATTATTGTTAAAAAAAACTAAACTAACACTAATTATCACAAGGGATCTAATTCCATGTTTGGTGGAATATAAAGACACATTTCACGTTCTTAATGGCTACAGCTGATGATCATGTTTTTTTATATCTTTGTAGTTACTACATATATATCATATATATATATATATATATATCTTGATATGCAGAATCAAAATCATCATCTTATGTACCAGGAAATATCACAATAATGTAAATTGCAATGATACTTAATATTTATCATTTTTTGAGGTTTTCAGTGTCATTCTAACCTTAACATAGAATGATATTTTGCTGCATAGTTTAGCTATAAGAATGGTAATCTGCCTAACAGTAAGTACAGTTTTACTTACATGTATAAGTCTCAAATTAGAAATCTAGACTAGAAGACAAATTTAATGAATAATGACTGATACAAGCCAATTTTGGGTAAGGTACTTCTTAAGCTTAAGTCTGCTTGGGATTATTTTATACCTGATTTATTAGTTGTGAAATAGTTAAAATATACAAATGTATTAGAAATTAAAAAAAAGAGTAGTAATAACAAGTACATATTTCATAAACTTTAAGAGAAATAAAGATTAGCTTCAGATTTCTTTAACTTCCCTTTCTGTGTTTTCTTTCTCATACACTTAGATAATTTCAAAGTTTTTAAACTGTCTTATCATGTGGATCCTGAAGCCTGGTTTGTCTCAATGGGTGTAATGAGTGAAATACAACAACAGAAAGGAATTCTTCATTATATCATGAGCAATATACTTCATTTGTACTTGTAGTGTTCTTTATATCTTATTTTTGTTATACATTTTATCGTGATGTGCAGTAATGGTAATCTTTCTAGAATGAAGATTGTGTAAATTAGTTGATTGTGCTTTTCCTTAGTTAAAATTGCCTATTCTAAAGTTTCACTTCAAAAATAATCTAAGAGATCAGGGTATTTAGAAGTTTATATGTAATTTATATTGTGAATAATCGTGAAGGATTATCGAGTGACATTACAAAAGCTAACATTAACAACAGGCCTGATGCTGTAATCAGCTGATCGTGGAAGTTATGTATGATGTCCATATGTTAATGCATTTATTGTAGTTTGTATTACTTCTAACCAAAGGGGAGTAGCTAGCTTTATTCAATAACATTGCAAAGACAAAAAGACACAAAATTATCAAGTTCAAAACAAACTGTAATTGTTTATGCTTGCAAAGACAATTTAGTTATTACTGCTTGAAAATTCAGCTGAACTATGGATGTAATGATACAAAAGTACTTGGTATTGATGCATAGTAATTTATATTGAAAGTTTCAACAAGTAGTCTAACAGTAAATTGTCTTTTAATAGCATAGCAAATACCTTACTGTAGATATTTTTTGAACTTTAATACACCTCCAGGCTTGAAATAAAAGCAAAATGCACACAACAAACATAAATACTGCTGCAAATTGCAACCTTAATAGGTTCTCTCTATTTTTACGACACCTAACCTAGTTTTAATAAGCCTATTTTATGAACACTGCAAAGTGTTCAGTTATCATGTGAAATATTTAATACAAACATTAGCTAAAGTAAAACAAAGCATTTGTGTAAAGTATGAAAACACAAAAGTGATTCTGATTTAATATAAAGTAGTACAAGAAATCTAATGCCAATTGAAAATGGTTGTAATGGTAATGGACATTGTTTTACACGTGCATGCTCTAGAAAATCAACTAGGTAACATTCATTAACTTAATTGTGAATGCAGTAAGTTATCTAGAATTTATACATTTAGATGAGTATACTGTATATATAGTTTTACTTATTTTTACCTATCATTTTTTTCACCAACTACTTGGGATATTTCGTATGTGGAAGATACCATGTGGCGGATATGTTACGAATAAACATCATTGTTTTGTTCAGATATTTCTTAAAATGAAAGTTCACAACATATCTTGTTTACATTAAAAATAATTTGATTTAGTAGAACTAAAAAGTAAAAACCATTAAATTTATTGAACACATATTTATATTGTTCACAAATATGACAATTATTTTGACAATCCACCCTGAACCAATAAACAATTTTCTATTTGATGATAACAATTATTGTAAATACTGAGTACTCACCACTACTTTCATGATTTTGCATCATTAGCTTTTTTAACCAAATGTTAAAGGACAATTGACTATAATTCCAAATTTACTAAATGTATCTACACAAGGGGTGGCAAAGCTTTTAGTAAAACATATAAGTCTGTGGTACACAAAAAAATCAAATGTGTAACAAAAGTATTTGTACTCAAGACATGTCTGCAAATTGACAACATTTGTCTGACTCAGCCTCTAACAAGTCAGATGCAAGGTGATGGTCAAAGGAAGAATAAAAATACTTTTGTCTTTGTACAGTGTGCTCTAGAGCCTCTGAAATGCATATCTACAGTTTTCTTCAGTATCTCTGTATACTGTATCTCATACTTACTCTCTTCTATCTTGAACTGTCACTAAATCACCAGTGTAAGTTAAAATGAATAGTTGATAACTGACATCCAATACATAATACCATGTTGAATGGTACTCTGTGAAAGATTGTGGCATATGCACTTTTGAAGAATCTGACTGATATGTTGTTCAAATACCAAAGTTGTTCACATAAATCTATCTATATATATATATATTGATGCCAATAGCAAGGTCAACCTTATCATTAGGCAACACCAAATTAAACTTATAATCAATCAAGTCCTTGCATAAGTGGTGCTTTTATCGAACACTTGAAATCTGATATAGAAATTTCAAAATAGAAAATAAATAAAACTTCCAGATGCAGGCACTGATGAGAAACTTTGTTTTTATCTGGTATCATATAAATCTTCCAGAATAATATGAGAGAACTCTTCAGAGAATGATACAATTTCATTAGATATATACTACAGTTGTACAAAGATATTTTTAGGCTTATAAATATATATATATATTCCATTATAACATTGTACAAAACATAATGTGAGAATAAAAATAAAACAATGAAAGTGTCATGAATTACTCACCCATGAGCTAATCCACTACCAGCATGTTTAGCAAGTCTGGATAATGTTTTTGAGTTGAAGTCTTCTATGATAGACCTACAACAATGGCTTAATTAACATTTTAATGAAAATATGTATAAAGATTCACACTAATTTGGAAGATTTTAGTATTAATATGAATATTATGTTTTGGTGGTTAGTTCTTTTTTTTCCTTTGTTTTAATCCACAAATTGTATATTTCAGTTCTTTCGTTTCATTTCAGTGTAGGTCCATGTCTCATATGTAATACTTCTTCTATTTTCTTTTTAATTCTCTCTGTCAGTCAGTGGTAAAAATAAAAAAATCATAAATGAGAATACCCATCCAAAAGGAAAATAGATCATACAAGAGAACCTCAACCATGAAGGTGTCAGAGCTTCAAAGCTGTTCCTAACCTATCTGAAGAAGGAACAAACAAATGTCTGAAAATGTTGACAAAACCTGATGTTGAAGGCAAGATGTTCAACAGTAAAACCTTCTTCATTATGACCTCTTGACAACCATATCTCACACACAGACACACCAATTTCATTTTTCAGCCCAAAATACACCATTTTGTTTGAAAGCGCTAGAATAAGCTATTCAAACAATATATTTTATGTTAAATAAGGTATATAAGATAATTGTATATCTTGAATCAAATGTTCAAGAAACTCAATTATTATGAAAAAAATACAATATACATACACATGAAGTTACAGACAAAGAGTTGTACTAAGGATTAATTATCCTTATTGACAATCTTAACTTACCCCTAATTTATGCAAGTTCTAAATTAAAATTTCAAAGAAAAAATAGTTTTCACTGATAAGAAACATCTAAGTGCATTATTAAGTGTTCAACTTATTGATTATTGTTGCTCTCATATTGTATAATATATTATCATGTGAAAACATGACTATAGTGATACATACAAATTAATATAATTTTTAAGGAAGTTATAAAGAATTAACGTTGCTTACTTCCAGCTGCCAACTCTATAATTAGAGAACATGTGTAGGATGTATGACTTTGGCTTCTTATATAATATCTCTAATGTTTGTCAATGTACTGTAATGTTTTAATTCACTGTTATATGAGTGATGAGTGATTAAATTAGTGCAAGGAATAACATTTAACACTTACTGTGTGCAACTGAATAAATTTTTTGTTTTATAAGTTTCAAAAAGTTTACATTCTTTAACTCGATTCTGGTTTTATGTCACAAACATATGATAGAAACCATTAACATTTGATACTGAGCTAAATAAAGTTTTGAATGTGTTAGTTGTACAGTAGGTTTTATTTACCTCTAGAGCCCCTGTTCAAGGGAATTATAAGTATATTTAGATATAATGCTATCCTGCTTTAACTAAAGGCATCAGTGCCACACCAGCAGCATGCTTCGCCAGCTAAGTACCCACTATGTCTTTGGTAATCTATTCAATTCCTTCAAATCCATTAGTTGACTTTTTTTAATAACAAAAAAACATAAAATTAAAAAAAAAAATCATGCTATATTCATTGAAAAATGCATGTCTGATGGAAAACTAATGTATTAATATGTTTTGTACAAAAACATCACAATTGAATTTACCTAAAGTAGCATAGACATCTGAACAACAACAACCACAGTCAAGAAAGAGAAGGAAGTACATCATAAGAGAAAGCTGGTATAAAAAACAGAAAGCCAAAAACTCAAATGGGGCACAAGTTGGAGCATACAAAACCACATTAAGGTCCCAGTCAGGTATGGCAGTTACGTGTGGAGATCAGTTAAGAAGGAAGGTTTGGAACCAGATGGAGAGGACAGAAGAAGAAAACACCAGGTGGTAATGGAAAAGGTGAAATGTAGTGGACAAAACTAATCGATAAGCAGATATGGTGAACACTGACAAACCATGGTTGAACAACAATGTGAAAAATACTGAAAGGTGGACCATACTAGGGTGGTCTTGAATAAAGAGTGGTGGATAGAACAACATTGAAAAAGTCACCATTCCTGTTGATAGACAGACAAAGTTGAAGGCTACATGAACAGAGAGCTGAGCTCGGAGAGTGATAAACTGGAGAAATCCCACACCTGAAGATAAAGAGACAACACCCTGGGTGAAAATGAGAAGTATGAGGTTGGAGCAAATGAAGGGTGAACTGGATAGAGGAGAAGGGGGGCCTGAATGCCAATTGATGAAGGTGAGGAAACTAGGGTTGGGCAGGCCAAAGAGGTGCCACCAACAAAACCTGAAAAGCAGTGTTGCATATCAAGTCAAGGAGATGAAGAAGAATATAGGAATACAGAAAAGGGTAAAATCATTCCTGGCTGAAAGCATCAATTGTCAGGGCCAAAGAATAATGAACTGGTGACCAGAAGAGTGGAAATTTAGTGTTGAAAGGAATGGCAAAGGCATCCATGAGGAATGTGCCCATCTGAGTACAAACCCAACAAAAAACCTGAGAGTGGTTCCAGGGAAGCCATAGTCCCCAAAACTGGAATAACCACATTTGCAGGGTGTAAATGAGAAGTGCAAATCCTGGCAGCTACACATTCCATTGGTTGGAGGTGAAGTGGAGAAGGCTGAGCCCAATTGAGATAAGAGGTGAAGAACACAATGAGATGTACTAAATGTTGGGTAAGCATGAGAGAAGATTTGGTAAGCTTGATGAGCCAGCTCAGTCTTCCTAAAGAGGGGTGAGAAGAAGCCAATAATCCATGTTATAATGGAACCATAGTCTCAGCCCATGAAAATGGTAAGCAAATACTTCCATTACTCAACTGAAAATGTAAGGAGTAGACATTATTCCAAAAGGAAAAGCATGGAAATGGAAGACATGATTCCATTGAATGAAATGTAAAAAACAACTGGAGGATGGACCAATCAGGATATGTAGAAAAGCATCTGACACATGGACCTTTGTCATCCACAGATCTGGTGAGAAAGATCATGGGACAAAAAGAAACCCTCCATCTTGTTCTATGAGATATTTAAAAACTGGTTGAAGGATAACAGGATGCCAATATCCAGTCTTCTGAGAGTAAAAATCTGGAATGGGGTAAATATTCTCTCTTTGGCATCTTGGCCAATAGATCTGATAACATATCCTTGGGACACTGAAGATAAAATAGGATAGGAGGGGAGAGGAAAGGAAATGAAAGAGTGGAAGAAGAAAAGTGGAGAGATAGGGCATGGTTGAAAACCAGAAGAACCTATATGTTAGCTCAAAACAGAGACCAAAGACTGGAGAATCAAGACAGATGGACACCCACTTGGCCAGACCCAACAAGACAGTTACCAACAAGATGAGCAGTAACCTTGATGTTGGGAAGAGGGAGGTTAGAAAGAAGAAGGAAAACTGGAATTGAAAGGGGAGGTGAAAATGGAGCAGGTCAAGGAATAGGAACAGAAGGGTGAGGTGAAGAAAGACAATAAGGACTGATGACAGGCTGCTTCAGTCTGTGTTTCAAGAGAATCAAAAACATTTCTGAAGTTTTCAGGGTGAAGATCATAGAGATAAAATGGAGGCAGGCAGGCCCGCCAAAAGGGGGAGGGAGCAACTGCCCAGGGGCCTGGGTGAATGAAACCTGGTTATGCAGTAAAGCCCGCAAAGCATCTTTAGGCTATATCTTCATTTAATGATAAAAACCATAGTTTTTGGCTTTTCTTTGCATATAGATGCTTGATACATTAAGAACAACTGAAATAATAATTTGAGTAATAATTAATATGTATTTGTTACTTTATAAATGTAATAGATATTTGTTATTACTTTATTAACATTTTTACACTTATACTGTGTGGTAAAAATGGCTGCTGCTATGATTTTGTCTGATTTATGAGCTCGTTGCTGTCCTAATTTAGGATCTTCTTTTTAATAAATTCTGGAAAATGTTAAAAAAGAGAGAGAGAGAGATAGTGGCCCGTGCTGGCTCTCAACATTCCTGGAGGCAGGCAAACATCAGTAAAGAGAGCATCCATACCCAACAAGTCCCAACAGCAGAAAAACCAAGTAAGAAGGGGCACAGTAAAAAGTAGTAGGGCCAAAGTGATAGAAAGGAGGATAAAACTTCTCCAAAAGCATGATGAAGTGCTACAGACATAAGATGAAGGGACGAGATGTAATGCAGGAGGATGGTGATAAAAGTTAAGATTTTCTTTACCTGAAAATGTATTTCTGATAGATACTTACCTCTGCACAAAGAGTTTCTTTTCTCTAGAGTTTGTGTGTTCTGCTAAAGAAACTTCCCACCTGATTTTGACTGAAAATTAAAAAAAATTGGAAAAAAATCACAAGTTTCAGCAAACTCAAAAACACATCAGTGTACTACAGTGCCGAGAAAAGAATGAGGATTCACGAGCACAACTGCAGAGGGAGTCATTAAGCATGGAGGAGTGTCACCCTCCTATTGGTGGAGGGTTCTGCTGCATGATGAAGTCTTCATACAGTGTTGCAAATTCATGTGTTTTCACGTGAAATCAGGTGGGAGTTTTCATAAGGGTGGTGGCTTGCAAATCTCTTTGACAGAATGCACAAATTCAAGGGAAAAGAAGCTCTCCGCTTGTGGAGGTGAGTATTCATTTCAGAAGGATAAAGGCACGAAAATTGGGCATTAGAGAGTAAAATACAAGAGGTTTGCCCCCCAAGCAGGTAAAACAAGATTCTGAAGAATCTAAAGGGAAAGGAGGAAATACAAAGTAATCCTGAGATTAGGTCTCATGTAGTAAATAACAAACAGATCAAAGGACAAAGTGAAAGAACAAAACATACAAGAGAAATCATGTTTAAAAAAAGATTATAAAGTTGAGGACTTTCTTTGAAGTAATAAACCAGGGCCAAATGAAAACCCTGATGGGGAATTAGCTGGTCAAAATCATCATCGTCCTGATCATGGTCACACTGAGGAGATTGAACATCAGCTGAAAGAATAGGAGAAGGAGGCCCAGTGTGCATGAGAGACTCCACAACAAATTGAGCTGTGGCTGCAATGTCCTCAAGGGACAACTGACCCCCAGTAGCCACAGCTTCCATGTTAGTAAAATTGTCATAGTCATGGGACAAAGCAGAAGTTACCATTACTTGAGAATTTTTTTTTCAATACTGTAGTAACGAAAGGAATAATTAAACCAAAATTTAACTAAATTTCTTTAATTGTCCCAAATCTCATGGAATTGAAGTATCATAAAAGAAAAAAAAAATGTCTGTTCAAGACAAGGCCGAGGATAAGAATAAAACTATTTTGAACTGGAGTGCTTAAGGGGAGTTGCTGTGCAAGGACATTGTGTTGTTGGTAAAAGACTATTGTCACATGATGATGTCATCATGCACTAGGGTAGTTCATGTTACACACATAATGTTTTAGGTGGGAGTTACCTCAAGCCTAGTAGCATGCAAATCTCATAGACAGACATGCAAGGAATGAAGCTATTCTTTGTGAAGAGGTAATGTATTGTCTTGGAAATTATCTGTTCCCTTAACAAGCTTAAAGACCTTAATCAGATCAACTCTAATTCTTGTTTTTACAAGAGAAAGCAGTTTTCAACATCTTACCCTGACCTCGTATGACACCTTTTCCAACTCTGCTCTCTTTCTAACAATTCAATGTTCTTCCTAAAGTAAGAAGCCCAAGACTGAACACAATACTTCAAATGTGGCCTAACCAGTGGCATATACAATAAAATTATAACTTCTTTAGACTTGTACTCAGTATTTCTGTAGATATGAACTAAAATCATATTTGCTCTAATACTATCAACAGCACACTGAATGACTTAAGAGACTAATCAACCAAACAATCAAGACCAATTTTCTTCCATAAAACTGTTTTGATATTTCTAGGCACATGGGATAATATTTTCAAAATGAAGGGGAAAAGACGATTTACAATAATTTGCTGCTCCTTTGCTAATGCTGAGAGACTGGCTAATCAGAGAAGATGATAGCAACATGACATCCACTGAAAGTGAGGGTATATATATTCTGAAATAAATTATCCTAAAATTCACGGAGTTTCTAGATATAACAGTAGTTGATGAAATTTCTATCTTTATAAGTGAAAACACTCAAGCATATTATGTAACCTTCCATATCTACACATGAATATAAATTGGCAACAATACAAGACACTGAGTTTTGCACATTAATTAAAATAAAATGTTAATATATATTTTTCAAAGTACGGTAAGTCATTAAATAAAGCCAGGACCTCATTAAATTCTTTCTTCAAATAAGCTAAAATGCATTTCAAAAACCAAAGTCGGCTATTTATTACACCTAGTAAGAGTGATTCAGATGTTGGAAGGACCTAACATGAACCACTAGACTTAATTATGCGTGTTATGAAAATCTTACACAGTCATTGTAAAGTGAATATATTTTGAAACAAAAATTAGCTCTTAAAAGAAAAAGCTATCCTTACTTTTCTACTCTCTCTATCACTCTTTTTTTTTTCTTTTCTAAATATAAGCAGAACCTATTTTTCCATTCAGTTTTACTTATGGTCACAAAAGATGGCTGTTAGTATGAATTTGAAAACTGGTGATTGTAAGGCCAATGTTCTACCAAGAAAGATGACAAAATACATGTTTATTCCAGAAAATTTAACTAGCCATAACAATTGTTATATTATTTTCTGAAAGTTTTAAATGTTATTCTCTTTGTATCTTTTTTGTATTTAAGAATCTGATTAACCTTCTAAGGAAATATGTAATCCTGAAATACAAATATTTTCTTTGTAGAAAAGTGGCCCATAGATAAGAAATCTATTAAACAGTTTAGAAATAATATTGCTATCAGGGAATGTAATGCAACCTTCTTTACCTTTCTTTAACAAATTCTGCTAACTCTTGACAATCTGAGGTGCCATTTTTCATGTTGTTGTATAAGACTTCAAAACCATCATTCTTCTCACCCTTCAAGGGAAACAAACATTATACCCTTTAGTGGACTCCTTAACATGTATCTGTAGATTGTTACAAAACTACTTTACAGGTCAACATGCTTGCAATCCAAAGAAAAAAAGTTTTTTGATTCCCACAAAACTTATGTTTTCTAATCTCTGAAGTTGTAAAACTTGTATGAAAACTAGAAGTATTTCCATGTTAACAAGCCAACTGACTAAGGATACTTTTCAGTACAGTACACAATAATTTCACAATAGTAAGTTAGCAAAAGAAATTTTATTGTCCATGCAAATACATTAAGTACATGTAATATTTTGTAATAAATTGAATTTAGATATAATTCTCTGTTTATATATTTTGTCAAATATAAATTTTACATCTCTAGTCTATAATGAATTTACCAACTATGATACTTATAACAAAAAAGATGACATAAAATAAAGAACACCACAAATGTATTATACTGTTCAATTTGACAGTCTACAATTATTGTAAATTTTTTTAAAAATCCTTGTAACTAAACGCCAATTCTTTGGCAGAATTAAATATTTTTTTACTATCTAACTTTTAAAACCAATTTCTCATATACTACATCATCTCGAAAATAGTTATAACAGTATTTAGGTTTTTACAATGGATTTTTGAAATCCATTTTAAATATTTACCTGTTCTGCTTCAGTTGTGTAAAAAATATAAACTGAGAAACAAACAAAAACTATAATACACATAATTATGTATTATATTAAATTATTATGTATTTATTATAATAAACTACTACTGAAAATAGTAATGCTTGGAGACAGCTTGAATGGGTAATGAAGAAAAACTTTAATATAAATTTAACATAACAGTAAATGTACAACGTTTTGACAAGGTTTTGTTATATTAAGCAATAATTCTCAAATTGTAACAAACACTCATAAATGACTTGCATGTTGTTTGAGAAGATTATGAGTGTTGTGGGGAGAGGGAAGTAGGCATGGTTACTGATAAACCTCTAAAACTTAAGTGTTTAGCTGAGATGATAAAAAAACAGAGTTTTTAGATAGGCTTATAAAAATTATGAATTTAAGAACAAGAAAGTTTTATTATCTTGTGTAAAACTAGGAAGTCCTCATTTTGAGTAGTGTGCACAAAATTTAAAGAACTTTCAAAGGAAAGTTCAACAATTATCAAACAGTTTAATATTGATATCTGTAAAGAAAACAATTTGAGTCTTTATTAGAACTTAACATTAACATTTGGTGAGTACTTTTGCATGATTTTTGTTTTAAATTAATAGAAGATATCAATGAAAGCATAAAAAAATCATATAAAAAATTAGTATGTTATAAAACAAATGCATTAATGCACTGATTTCTAATCCTATCCTGAGACTCCCACCTTTGAGAAAGTTTAAACCTATCCTTTATTTTCAGTAAATCATCAATTCCCTTCTTAAACTCCACTAAAGTGCTGGCTTCCACTACTGCCTACAGCAACTCAATTCATAAGTGAATCATTTTATGTTAGAAAAATAAAACAGTCTTACTTGGAGTCTAGCCTGTCTTTTCCAAATCTTAAGCTTCCATCCTGTTGTTCTGTTATCTTCAGAATACAGCATAAACAAATTAAGTCTTTATCCTATCAATTCCCTGGATAATCTTGTAAATTTCAATAAGATTACTTCTTACCTTTCTTTTCTCATAAGAAAATAAAGTTGGAGATCTTAACCTATCCCTAAAAGATAAACCTCCCATTCTCACGTTCATCCTACTACCCCTCCTTTAATCTCTTTCCAACAAGTCAACATCATTTCTTAGATAAGGAGACTAAAAAATGTACACAGTTTTGAAACTGAGATCTAACTAATGATTTGTATAAGAGAGAGAGAATTATCTTTTTTAAGTTGTAAAAAATATGTATTTGAATAAATTCTAAATTCTATTAGCTTTACTACTAGCAACACAATGCTGCCTCGGTATTACAAAAGTTACTGAAAACTGTGAAAGGGAAAAAACTAGATGACATTGGTAAGGGAAAAGATGCGGGTATAGCTATTACAAGACCTCTAAGACCTTTTAAACAAGCACTTTGTAATCAACCAAGGGAAATGAATAATCATAATTAAGTTTAATCAAACATATACTTAGCTACAGCAAAAACTAAGTATTTTGAAAATTCTTCAAGTAGCATAAAACTTTAAAGTCAAACAACGTTAAGACCAAAATACTGTTAATTAATTTAATAAAATAAAACTTTAAAAACCATTAGAAAAGAAATAAGAATAAAACTAGAAAGTATATTCAGATAATATAGTACTATTGTGTTAACAAGGTTTAACTCCTCCATGGCAACTGCTGTAATGTTTTTTAAAAGTTAGCTGTATAACACTAAAACCAAATTATCAGTATTTTGTACATGAAAGAAAAGATACCTCCATTATAATAATATGGCATCTTAGATTAATCAATGTTGACCATATAGTCTCAGGAATGTCGAGAGCCACCATGGGCCCTGGGGCAAACATCCTTGCTAGGCCCCCTTTCTCTCTCTCTCTTTTTAACATTTTCCAGAATTTATTAAAAGGAAGATCCTAAATTAGGACAGCAACGAGCTCATAAATCAGACAAAATCATAGCAGCAGCCATTTTTACCACACAGTATAAGCGTAAAAATGTTAATAAAGTAACAACAAATATCTATTAAATATATGAAGTAACAAATACATATTCATTATTACTCAAATTATTATTTCAGTCGTTCTTAGTGTATCAAGCGTCTATATGCAAAGAAAAGCCAAAAACTATGTTTTTTACATTAAATGAAGATATAGCCTAAAGATGCTTTGCGAGCTTAATGGCATAACTAGGTTTCATTCACCCGGGCCCCTGTTTTATTGTGGTGACAACACAATTTAAATTTAACTGGCTAATTCACTCCAATGAGTTTTGAATATATCCATTCAGATCTTTTTTTTTTTAAAGGATGCTTGGAGCAGTGGAATATTTTTCATGTTGCATTACATAAAAAAACACTTGGTATTTTAAACCAGTAGATTGCAGAATTCTGCATGAACATGTTTAATAAAAACAAAATCCTAAATATTAACCATAAAAACACTTTCTCACATCACTTTTTGAAGTAGATCCTCTTCCTAAATAGCTTGATAGGTAACTAAATGTACTGTGTACAACAAATAAATGTGTAAGGAAACAGGTAATTATTGATAATATGTAGTCTAAATATATTACAGCAAGTAAAACTGCATAAGTGAAATGGGAGCAAGAACATAAATAAAACAAAGACTGTTGGAAATCGAGATGGAATATAAAGCGCTCTGCCAAATTAATTTCTAAAGCAAGTGATTTAAGAAAATTAAAGTAACTTTTATATAGGTACAGTACAGAAATCAACTTGCACAAAAAAGAAATATGACAAGACTGTATGTAAATATTAGTGAAAGATGAACAAAAAAAGAAAGAAATATTAGTCTTTTTGTTTTGCCATCTTTCATGCACAAAAAAGTATATGTTCTCAATTTTGGCACATATATTTGGACTGAATTACATTTTCTTGAAGTAAAAATTATCATTAATCATTAACTGATTGTGTTTGTTGTCTTCTTATGAAGACCCTTTGGTCATAATGTTACTTTTATTGCTCTTCAAATAAATATTATTTGGGCCTATTTTAGTGTGCAATTATCGTCATTCTTTCTTGTGTTATTATTTTTTAAGTTTACATCTTTCTAATAAAGACTGGATGAGCACAGCAATTTTTACTGTTGTTCAATGTTTAATAAAAGCATTTTGTAAGATGGTGAGTGGTCAAATTGATTTTAATACCATTTTGCCCCTTCAAAAAGAAATTGATAATTTTAAATTGTATACCCCTGAAGTAATCAACTAATCAAAATTAACTGGTGTTTCCAATTGTTTCAAAAATTGAATAATCAAAATTATGATTAAATCGATTGTCACAAGGATAATCAACTAATTGAAATTAATTGTCCTGACTATTTCCGTTTTCAATTATTCCAACAACTGATTAATCAAAATTATGATGATATTGACTGTCATGAAAATAACCAACTAACCAAAATTGTGGTTCCTGATTACTCCTACAATCCAAGTAATCAAAATACTGCCATTATATTTGTACTACCTGTCCTTTTCCCACTGGAGTGTCAAAACCAAATTTTAACATTATAGATTTATTTTTCACTTCAAGTTTGTTCAGTATTGGGCCAGCATGGCTTGGTGATTTGAGAGACTCGGATTTGATTCCTGTTGTCACCAAACATGCTTGTCCTGGCATCAGCCACTGCCAACTCTTAGGCAACCTTTCTTTTCTTTTCACTTGTGGTTTGGAGAACACTGTACTAATCAATTAATAGACCTGTCAATTAGTTGTTCAGCAAATACAACTAATTGCCCGATTTTTATATAAATCAGAAACTTACATTAAATTAACACTGAAACTTCACTTTATTGTAAACATTTTTTTTTTACAAATACATACAATTATATAAAACATTGTTCAAAATGTAAAGAACATTTTATATAATGAATCTGATATATGAATGTCTGCAAGTCACTATAATGATGGAAGCATTTAATATTTTTTTTTATGTGCAATATATTTGTTTTGTTTTTCATGAAGCACTATAAAGCAAAATTAGTTATGAAAAAAAAAAAAAACGTTTTAAGGTGTCCGTCTCACAGGGTTTTTTATATGGATAAGTTTAGATCTTTTAACTTATTTTCTCTTGAGAAGAAAAGACAAGACGTGATCCTAATGAAGTTTACAAGATTATTGAAGGGATCTATAGGATAAAACCCTCGATTTTCGACTTCTTTGTACTGTATTCTGAAGCTAACACAACACAAACTTAAGATTTGAAGCATACAGACTAAGTTCCAGTTATGGTAGTTTTGCTTTTCTGACAGAGATACTGATTTATAGAATGTGCTGCTGTAAGCAGTAGTGGAAGTCAGCATTTTATTGGATCTTATGAAGGGAATATATGATTTCCTTAAAAATAGAGGGTGGTTTTAAATTTTTACTTTTTATCAAGGTGGGTGTACATGAAAATCCTTATTGTCCATGTGTTAGTACATGAAAACTAGCTAAAGACCAAATGGTGAGCAAAAGCACCATTTACTATATCATCTATGAATGTGGAATCCAATACTTTGGAGAAAGATCAATAAAAGTTGGAAATCAGAAGCATAATACATACACAATACTTTGTAGCACCAATCTATTTGCAACAGCCCATTATGCCAAACAAGATGATCATATAATACAGTGGAATAATACTAAACTAATGGGATATTAATCACACACGAGAAAAACAGAAATTAAAAAAATCCTTCTATATCCACCTAACACAGTCATCCTAAAAGGTCAGTATAAGACCCAGTGAAACCTAGAAACTTCCTCTTAAAAGCATTCAAACAAGTTAGTTGAGTCAATTCCTAATGGGGGAGAAGCCCCAGATAAGTGGAATGTACACCAATCCTTCCAGTAGTGTAGGATATTCTGTTTGCCAGGTGGAGCAAATTTCAATGAACCTGAAATTACCAAATCACTTACAAGTTACACATGAATGGTACAATAACTAAATAACAAGTGATACTACTATATTGCCTTTTTAAAAAAAATTATGAGGAATGAACAAATTTAGAATCTAATTGGAAATTCTTTGCTTTCATCCCATATAAATTCCTCTATTTAAAGTTACTTAAAGAGTGACCACTTATGCTCCCTCCCTCTAGTTGGCTTTGCACAATTCTAGGGGGAGCAATCACTTCACTGATTCCTCCACTACTAAGCCCTATTATTAAGATCCAGTATCGAATCCCTATCACTACTACAACTAGTACTAGTGGCATTACCGCGAAAGAAACACTTACAAACAGTCCTTCTCATATTCACGGCTGGCTTCCCCGAACTTCGAAGATGGAAACAGATTAGGTACTCAAAATGTCAAATGTAGGATATAATTAGAAATAGTTAATACAGACACTTCAGTGATCGTATAGGCTACTACTAACCATAACAACGACAGTAACTTATGTTTATTAAAACTTTAATGTTTAAAAAATTGGGTGTCATAATTAGGCCTATAGTGTACTATAACTTATATTTTAAGTTATAACTTATAAGGCTATACATACTAAGGGCGATGTTAATTGGATACTTACCCAAAAATAGTCTATAAAATGTGTAGTCATTATTCAAATTATGGGTATTTCAATGTTTCTAAGAATAGAAAATGAATCTGACAGAGCGATGAATTTCGTTGCTTGAAATAACTTCCACTTTCAGTTTACTTCATTCTTCCATCATGTAACATCCGCATGTAAACAAATTGAACGCTACCTGTATTTAGATTTTATAATCTACAAAATTACTAATAAATAAAATATCAAGCAATAATAAACAAAAATACTAAGAAGCATCACATGAGAGAAACATCAAAGGAAAGTAGCATTGTTTGTATCCTTTCAATTACAATATCGTTTCAAACAATATATTTCAGCAGTGACTGTAGTGGTTAACAATATGTGGTCTTTGTAAGCTTCAGTGAGCTCATTACGAAAATGTACTTGAAATTTTTTTCTACCACACCAGGTTCCTGAAAAAAATGTAAATTTGTTAAAAAGTATTTGATTAAAATGTATTGTTTCAACTAATGCCGGGAGGGAAGCGTCAACAAAGCAACAAATATGAAGCACTTTCATGTATTTTCTGTAAATTTGTGGAGCATTCTAGATCGCTTTGTTGTTCTATTGTTGTTAGTTCTGGAAATTTTTGGAATGTATTTGAGACTATATAAATAGCATGAAACGCGTTCTGGAGAGTACAGTTCAGAAAATGAGTTCTGAGTGAAAGTGCTGTAGACTATTAAGCAGTGAAATTTAAAAGAGTATCGAATTATTAGGAGTATAATAATGAACTCTGTATTGAAGATTAGTTTAGCTCTCTCTCTCTAGGTATCGTGCCCATCTAGGACGTTGGGGACCATGGTCTTCCACTGATCCCGGTCTCTCGTTGGTCTTATCATTTCTAAAATGGCAATTCCTAGTTTCTTGGCAATTGTTGATGGCAGCATTTGTTTTTATCTTCCTTTACTTCTCTTTCATGTTGAAAGAGGCTCCATTCACGCTGTTATCGAGAAACTTTTTTCTGTGTCTGACCATGTTTATTCTTGGCATTTTACAATAGTGGTTTACCGTTGCCTTTTGTCGAGTGAGTTTAATAGATGTCACCTCCTCTCTTCTCAGAAGATTCTCCACTTGCATGCAACCATTGTCTTCTGAGGTCGTAGCTCATCCAACTTTTTCATCGGTTTCTCGGTAGGTCCGCCGTTGACCTTCATTCGTGACCCCGAATACGGGACTCTCCTAGGTACTACTCAGGCCCTCCGACAGGGGGAGTGCAAAGTGGGCAACTGTCCAGGGGCCCCGCGAGTGAAACCTAGTTATGCCATTAAGCCCGCAATGCATCTTTAGGCTATATCTTAATTTAATGACAAAAAACATAGTTTTTGGCTTTTCTTTGCATATAGACGCTTGATATATTAAGAACGACTGAAATAATAATTTGAGTAATAATTAATATGTATTTGTTAATTTATAGATTTAATAGATATTTGTTGTTACTTTATTAAAGTTTTTACGCTTATACTGTAAGGTAAAAATGGCTGCTGCTATGATTTTGTCTGGTTTAGGAGCTCATTGCTGTCCTAATTTAGGATTTTATTTTTAATAAGTTCTTGAAAATGTTAAAAAAGAGAGAGAGAGAGAAAGGGGCCCGGCGAGGATGTTTGCCCCGGGCCCGTGCTGGCTCTTTACATTCCTGGTACTGCCAGTCGGGTCAGCTGGACCTAGGGCAATTCGCAAAGGGAAGGGTCGACCACATCCTTAGGCAGTCCATTGGACCTGCTACCATGTACTCATTCAAAGGAATAATTACAAGCCTCTATTTTAGTTTAGCACCGACTCTATTAAGAGCAGTGTATATCGGTGCAATTTTATGCGAAAATCCACATAGAAGAGAAATGTGACTGCCATCGCTCCAAGAAAAGAAAACCTAGAAACCTGAAATTTTACACCCATACTAAGTGGACCCTATGGATGTGCAACTGGGTATTATTACTTATCCATGTGCGTGCGCGTATGCGCGTGCGCATATTTTAAAGAGGCATGCTAGTGAAAACCACATAGAAAAGAACTGTGACCGTATAGCTCCAAGAATAAAGAACCTAGAAACCTGAAATTTTGCATCCATATCAAGTGGACCCTGAGGGTGCGCACCTGGGTATTATTACTTGTCTTATCTACGTGCGTGCGCATCTTTTTAATGAGGCAAGCTAGCGAAAATCCCCATAGAAAAGCAGTGGTTCCATATATTACAAATATACATCACAGACAGACACGCACATGCCTGCGTGTGCATGTTTGTGTGTGACCACCATAGCTCCAAGAAGAAAGAACCTAGAAACCTGAAATTTTTTCCCCATACTAAGTGGGTGTGCACTTGGGTATTACTTATCTTATACAGGTGCGTGCACACATGCGCGTGAGAATCGTTTTGATGAGGCAAGCTAGCGAAAAACCACAAAGAAAAAGAAGTGGTTCCTTATATAACAACTTCTGATACATATAGAAAAGCCAGTGAGTTTTGGTAACAATGCATTCCAACATTGGCTTTTATGTCATGTTGCTTAGCAATAAAAGTATATAGGTTATATTTTTATGTTAAAATTGGTTCAGAATACACACACTATCATCCTAATAACCCGAGCGAAGCCGGGTACTTTCACCAGTGAACAATATGTGGAGGTTTTCTGCCAAATACTTTTTTAAACACGAACATGGGAAGAAAAATACAAATCTGAGAATTAAAAAAACTGAATTGAACTAAGTTTGGAAAAGAAAAACAAACAACGGGAATAAAAATATAAATCAGTGAATATTGGAAAATTCGGAGAATGAAAATAATTCAAATAAAAGCACAGGAAAAAACGAATCTGAGATGCTAAGTTAAAAGTATTTGGATTTAAAAAGAGTTGAATTGAATTAAGTTCGGGAAATGGCAACAGACAAATCAATTGAAGGATTGGTGCGTTAGGGTAGAAGTAATTAAGATAATGGAGACGATTGACTGGTACATTGAGGCCTCTGTGAATCATGAGGGGATCTTAGGACCCTGCAGCGGAGTATAGGTATTTTCTGCTAGTAAATAATATTTCTGTTTAGCATAAATAAAACAAAATAGATAATATTTCTGTTTTGTATAGTTTAATTTCTCAAGAACCCTGAAACCCCTGTGTATGCTATAAGAAAATATACTTAGCTCATCTCACAAAAAACATACTTGCCACACAATAATATATTCTCACTGTAACCAGCTTGTTGATTTCATAAAAAATACCTTCTTGTAATAAAGAAAGAAAACAAAAGTTTAAGTTTGTCGACCAGTGTTATATTTCTCTCACCTGAAGCTAGCCTCCCAATGGCACAGCGGTATGTCTGCAGAATTACAATGCTAGAATCCGGGTTTCGATACCCGTGGTGGGCAGAGCACAGATAGCCCATTGTGTAGCTTTGTGCTTAATTACAAACAAACCTGAAGGTAATTTTTGGTTTAATTGTATTTGATATTTAATTGAAATAGTATTTTTAATTTCATCCTCAAGTCATATATATCAAATTTATCTTTTATTGTTCTAACTCACAAAGCATCATCAACGCAATAATATTTTTCAGTAGTTAAAACAGTTAGTTATAAGTACTTAATCTATTTTAACGATTTTTCGCTATGCTACTTTATATTTTTCTACATACTTTTCCAACCACGAATGTTTATTATTTTTAGTTCCAGAATAAAAATATTTCATCGATGAAGAAGTTTCGCACATAATTAATGCTTTACTAACGCAAACTACTAAAGTAGTTACATAAACTGTTAACTAATTTAAGAAACACAGACCAGAGACACGTAACAAACAAGCAAACTCAAAAACTGAGGAAACCTAATCACTGCCACTATTCCATGTATAGAAAATATTAGCATAACTCTATCAGAAATTTGGAAAAGACTAGCACATAAATATAATCGTAATCTAACGTCTAAATACATTTTCACTCCTTATAGTGATGGCACACGACGAGTCACACATTCGGCATGTAATTCTGATTGAATACAATAAGGGAAAGAACGCCTCTGTGGCCACAAAGAATATCAAAGTAGTTTATAGAAATGTTTTGAACGTTCGTAAGTGTCAAAAAATGGTTTAGCAAATTTCGTTCAGGTGACTTT